AACACATTAAGCAGCCAGAGGGATTTTTATATTCATAACAAACAGCACTGATGTAATCCAGCGGTTTGCTCTCTCCACACATCACTCCATTAACAGCCGGTCAGACTTTATTTGTGTGTGTTTCCGGAGACTGACCGCAGGCAGGGCGAAGAAGGACACGCCGATGAGTGTGAAGGCGGCGGCCAGGAGACGGCCGTTCCAGGTGATGGGGTATTTATCTCCGTAGCCGATGGTGGTCAGAGTGATCTGTGGGACACCGAGGAAAACTACGTCAGCTTACAGTTACTCAGTGTCACATGATCCTTCAGAAAACACTCTAACATGATGGTTTAATGCTCGAGAAACATTTATGATTATGATCTATGTTGAAAACAGCTTAATTTTTTTAAGGATCCTTGATTAGAAAGTTCAAAAGAACATTTGAAACATTTTGTAACATTCAAAATTCTATTTTCGAGTATACATTAAATTAGAAGTTATTTTTAACGGTAGTGTATATCAAACAAAATTATATTTCTTAAACTCCACTGCATTGAGCGATCAGTGCTTCATATGTATTAATAACAGTTTAATGCATGTCATAATTCAATCACTGTCATTGGCTGCTCTCTAAGATTTCTGGCTCACATTTGACCAACCCTCCAAAAAAACGTGTATTTTGCATAAATCGAAGCATTTTTTTATACCAGTAGGTTTTTAAAATTAGGATTAAGATGAATTAATTTTCCTCCAAAGGTTTATTACCTTAATGCATAGAGGTGCATGATGAATCCCATTAGATTCTTATCATATATTCATACACAAATACTTATATATACTCCCAATATAATACTGCAAATATATATATATATATATATATATATATACAGGTGAAACTCGAAAAATTTGAATATGGTGCAAAAGTTCATTTATTTCAGTAATTCAACTTAAAAGGTTGAGATATTTCAAAGTGAGATATTTTAAGCCTTTATTTGTTATAATTTTGATGATTATGGCTTACAGCTTATGAAACCCTTTTCACAATATTCTAATTTTGAATTTGGGGTTTTCATAAGCCATAAGTCAAAATCATCAAAATTATAACAAATAAAGGCTTGAAATATCTCACTTTGCATGTAATAATTGGTATATTTATGATTAGTCACTATTACAGATGTAATATCTGGTAGTGTCATGATATAAACAAACAAAATATAAAACAAAAAAATGAATACAAATCAAATCTCATTAAATTATGCAAGTCCTTGAACTCTATCATCTGTGATCTTTCTGAAATATCACCTCTTTAAACTCAACGAGCGATAAACATCCATGCATAATTAATGATCCTCCCAGACGTGTGTGTGTGTGTGTAAACTTCAGCTGTTAGTCTATCTGATGTCCTTGGGTTTTTTTCCAGAGGAATCACGCCAGCGCTTCACCGGCGTCCCGAGAGCAACTGCAGTCTTAGATAGAGAAACTACCCTGAGTGTTGAGTAACCATAATAAAGCTGAAAATATGACACACAGCAATGCAGAAGCGCTTATGCACCAGATGCACCAGAACATTAACAGTAAATCGAGTGCAAGAAAACAAATTGTGTTTATCAGTGTAGCGAAGTAGCGAGTTATCCGGGGAATACGATCTGGAACAATATCCACCTCAGAGCACATTATGAGAGATCTGTGGACACGCTCCATTACTTCAAGCGTGTTTGTTAATGGCGAGGGAGTGCGAAGTGCTTACCAGACCCCACCAGAGCGCATCGGCGTAGGTCTCGAACATCTCATTATCCTCCTTCTCCGCGAGGTACACCAGGAACGAGGCCAGGATCAGACACAAGAAGCCGATGTACCAGGCTGTGATCAGCTCCTGATGAGGGCGTATACATGCACAGGATCAGCACATATCAAAATCAAGTGTCAAACTTGATGCATATTTAAATGTCAAAAGCCTATGATTGATGGTGCACTATTACTGCATAATATAAACTGTGCTTAAAGAGCCCCTGTTATGTATAATATTATAGTATTTTGCTTGATTGATTGATTGATATCTTTATTTTGAACATGTAAATACAATTAAAAAAGAAATCAGAGAAGGAAAAAAAATAATGGTAAAAAAAACAGATGAACAACAAAATAAAACTTTCCAGTACTTAAAAAAAAACTCTATTTACATGTACAAAAAGGAGTAGGAAGAAGTAAAACGTATGTACTCCTACCCCTTTATACCCTTACTACTATATTTAAGGAAATGGCTGCAAAATAATAAATCTACAGAGATAATAAATCTATAATCAATGGAAATATCTGTTCTTTTCACATACATATATTACACATACACAACAATATTTATACACATACTACAAATTATTCAATATAAGCTCAGGTTATTATTAGCACTGTGTTTCTTTGTACCTCTGGAATATAATTTCTTTGCACATCTTTATAAAATGGAATATGTTTGGACGTTGCTTTAACTCGTTATTTAATTTATTCTACAATTTAACACCGCTGACAGATACACAGAAACTTTTCCTAGTAGTTTGAAAACTGGGAGTCTATTTCCCACTAAAGTGTCCTATTATGCTGTTTTAAAGGCTCCTAATTTTGTTTTGAGTCTCCTATGATAGGTTTACATGTGTCCAAGATGCAAAAATCAGCTCTTTTCTCACAGTGCCTGAAACGGTTCGTTTGAAGATTCAGTCTCTCTAAACCCCGCCTCTCTGAGAGCTGCTCTGCTCTGATTGGTCAGACGGCCCAGTTTGTTGTGATTGGTCGACATGAACAACGTGAACCAAACTCTTCCAGGCCTCTGTCATTCGCAGCAGCCAACGAAAACCTTAGGGGCTGTTTACACGACACCATTTTCAACTAAAAACACAAAACCTTTATGCGTTTTGGCGGTTAATTTACACGAAAACGGCGTTTTGGGTGCGTGTAAACGCAAACGCAAGTGGAAGTTTTTGAAAATGGTCTCTGTGTAAACAACAAAAACGTGAATCTCTGAAGACGATGACGTCATGCACATGTGTATTACGTGTTGTATACTATAGTGTTTCATCGCCATCTAGTGGACTGGCAGCAGAATACAGCGTTTTTAGTCGTTTTCGTGGATCCGTGTGAATGGGTTTCGTTTTGACAATGGTGTCGTTTGTACTCAAAGGAAAAACTTCTCCGTTTCAAGCAGATCGTTGTTGTGTAAAAGTACCCTTAGACTGACATTATGCAAATTAGTTACAAACCTACGTAGGTTCGTGCAGGAACTGAGACTGGAATTACTGGCGACTCGTTTCTTTCTTTTAAGAGACAATAACATTTATTTGCACTTCGAACTTTGAAACTTCGCAGACCTTATACATTCACAAACAGCTGTATTACAAACATAAAAGATAATCATCGGAAAAGCACTTTAAAGGGGTGGTATAATGCCCCTTTCACAGATGTAAAATAAGTCTCTGATGTCCCCAGAGTGTGTGTGTGAAGTTTTAGCTCAAAACAACCCACAGATATTTTTATATAGCATGTTAAAGTTGCCACTTTTTGAGGGTGAGGATAAAACACACCGTTTTTGTGTCTGTCCCTTTAAATGCAAATGAGCTGCAGCTCCCGGCACAGGGGGCGGAGCTACAACAGCTTGTGTCTTTTTACCTCACACACACAAAGTCAATGTTTATGTTCAAACCGAGTCAGGCAATGATGGAGAGACTCAAGAAGAAGTGACAACATGTAGAAGCAACAGGACATCTCTGAATGGTTAGTTGATGGATTTATGTAGCTTATGTGTCCATCTTCTATAGTAATTGATTAGCATATTCTGTCATGATAATCTATAAATCGTGTTCCCGGGGGTGGGGTTTATGTAAATTCTAGGGTCTGTGATGTCACTAACCCTGGGAGGAAGCTCGTGTAGTTCTACCAGCCGTTTGTTGTAGTCCTTAAAAACGATTTCTTTAAAAGCAAATATCTCCCTTTGCTTTGACCTTTGAGCGTCGTAACTTTGCAGATGTTGTTTATGCTCAAACAGCAACATTACACACTAACTACAGCTAGAAAAGTGAAATCATAATCAAAATCACTGCAAAACACACCACAAGCGAACTCCTGAAACAAGCCAAAGAAAAACCACTGCACAGTTTCTGCTGTGTCAGCGTCTGCATCTCTTCACTCGGTCCTCCAGGGCAGGCTGGAAACGGGACACCACTTAAACACGGAGAGAGACGGCAACGTTACGCCACTGCGACTCGCTTTAGACCGAGAAACGCACCGTAAGCGCATTCACACACTTTCTTGCCCTTGAGAGAGACGTCTCCTGAGACTGAACTCACGACAGCAACTCGATGAATGACAGCACACTTTAAACAGACTCTGAACCGCAGGCGATCCACTTTACCGCTTCATCCGGGGGAAGACTGACTGTCCACAGAGAAAGGAGTGGAGTTCACTTTGTTAGTGGATAAAATGGCAAGCCGTTTTAGCTTAAAGGATTAGTTCACCTCAAAATGAACATTTCCTGATAATTTACTCACCCCAATGCCATCCGAGATGTTCATGTCTTTCTTTCTTCAGTGGAAAAGAAATTACGTTTTTTGAGGAAAACATTTCAGGATTTTTCTCCACACAACGGACTTCAATCGCAGCCAACATGTTGAAGTCCAAATCAATGCAGTTTCAAACGGCTCTGCACGATCCCAGCGGAGGAACAGGGTCTTATCTAGCGAAACCATGGCTCATTTTCTAAAAAAAATTAAACATTTATGTACTTTTTAAGCACAATTGTTCATCTTGTGCTGGTCGGTGACGCGCCAGGCATTACGTAATCACGTTGGAAACGTCACGATTTATTTTTATTTTTAATAATAATAATAAATTAAAACAAAGATGTCAGACGATTTTGAAGTTGGAGGAGAAAACGGGAGAAAATGAGAAGGAATTGTTCGCCCTTCCCTGCCTTTTTGAACAGGAGTACACAGACAAATAACTTAGATAGATGACATGTGACGTTTCCAACGTGATGACGTAATCCCTGGCGCGTCGCCGACCAGCACAAGACCAACAATTGTGCTTAAAAAGTATATAAATGTTTTTTTTTTTTTTTTTTTTTTTTAGAAAATGACGATGGTTTCGCTAGATAAGACCCTGTTCCTCCGCTGGGATCCTGCAGAGCTGTTTGAAACTGCATTGATTTGGACTTCATCATGTTGGTTGCGATTGAAGTCTATCGTGTGGAGAAAAATCCTGAAATGTTTTCCTCAAAAAACTTAATTTCTTTTCCACTGTAGAAAGAAAGACATGAACATCTCGGATGGCATTGGGGTGAGTCAATTATCAGGAAATTTTCATTTTGAGGTGAACTAATCCTTTCAATTGTACCCCGTGATACTCGTTGTAATTGCATTTTTACTAGTAACAATTCAATTGTAGAGCTCCGTAATTAAAAATGAATGGAAGTCAATGGAGACATATGACTAGTGATTTGATATGAATTGAATTGTAGAGGTCTCTATTTGAATTCTTACTAGTAAAAATGCAATTACGACGAGTAACACTGGGAACAATTTAAGCTTGTCATACCAGAATAACTAAAAAACATCAGTCTGTGAAGAGCTACACATCGATCCAACATGCATGTAAGACTTATGGAGACTGTAGACCACACTATCATTCACAGTTTGGGGTCGGAAAGATTCACAGAGGCTGCATTTATTTAATCATAAATACTGTAAATATTGTGAAAAGATTTTACATTTTAAAGTTTTCTATGTGAATATATAGTAAAGTGTAATTTATTCCTGTGATCAAAGCTGAATTTTCAGCATCATTACTCCAGTCTTCACTCTTCAGTGTCACATGATCCTTCAGAAATCACTCTAATATGATGATCTGATGCTCAAGACACATTTATGATTATTATCAGTGGTGAAAACAGTTGGTTTGTGGAAACCTTGATGTATTTTAATTTTCAGGATTTTTTGATGAAGTTTAAAGGCACAATATGTAGGTTTCTTTCGCCACAAGAGGGCGCAGTTTCCATCAATAACACAGGCGTAGGTTGATGACGCAGTGATGCGCTGAATGATGGGACTTGCTGTCAAGCTGATGGATCTAATAATGTTTATGGATGAGCGCAACCATTCATGTTTTTAACATTACAGTGGTATGAAGCAGGTCGTGATTGCTAAAGAGACAGATATCACACGCGAGTCCCGCGGATATAAAGGAATAAGGACATTTAATTCTACCGAACCCGCAAGTGCTGTATTACTCACACAGGTCAGTTTATTAGACGAATTAAACTTGTGAGGTAACGCAGCGCTGCTTCACTCGGTCTAACGTTACACTATCACACTAAACGGCATTTTAATGTGTGTTGAAAGTTATAATGTTATACGTGTTAGTTCGTTTGCTATACGAAACTAGCAGTAAGCTAGATCAACATTAGAATAACATACTGACCATATTCTAACATTTCATCATGTTGAGCTAACGTTATATAACATTGATTTGTTTTATGTACATTTGCTCACCGGTCTAGTAAAGCTGTCGTGACTCGTGAAGCTCTGTCGAGTCCAAGTTAGTCGCGGACGCTAGCTCTCGGCATCTCAAAAACGCCACGCTGATATTGATCCTCATTTTAGTTCTCCTTGTTTGTCCCAAAGTCTGCTTGCCATGGTCTATGTTTGAAAGAAACAAGAACTGCGTGCCGCTAAACGCTACGCACTACGCAGTTGTCCACGTCTGTCGCCATGGTTACGTCATGGCTAAGGCAGTTTGAGCGGAAACCGAGGATAGCGCGGATATTGCGTCATTGACAGGCAACGTTTTTTTCCGGGACGGCCACTTATTTAAAACTGGAATTTCTCTGAAATA